AAGGATTAAATGTGCACCTCCTGCAGTGGAAGCATGGAGTCTTGACCATTGGACCACCAGGGAAGTCCCATCAAGTACTTTTTTTCTTCCTGATTTTTTAAAATTAATTTTTATTGGAGTATATTTGCTTTACAATGTTGCATTAGTTTCTGCCATATAGCAGAGTGAATCAGTTATATGTATACATGCATCCCCTCTTTTTTCATTTCCTTCCCGTTTAGGTCGCCATGAATAGTTGAGTAGGTTTCCCTGTGCTGAACAGTAGGTTCTCATTAGTTAATAGTAGGGCATATGTGTCAATCCCAGTTTCCCAATTTGTCCACTCCCCCCACCTTGGTAACCATGTTTGTTCTCTATGTCTGTGACTATTTCTGTTCAGCCAATAAGTTCATCTCTGCCATTTTTCTAGATTCCACATGTAAATGACATTATACAAGTACAGTTTTAAAAACACTGTCACCATTGCAAAAAAGAAAGAAAATTTGATACAATAGAAGAACAAAATCTCAGAAAAAAGTTTTGCCATGAGTTAATGAAAAAACCTCATGTACTAGCCATTAGTCGGCAGACCAAAACACTCTAGTATCCATTTCTAGCCTTTAGAAAATACTCAGAATTCCTCTTTTTTGTGCTGTATTGACTTTATCACTCCTAACGTTGCCAGCAGAGACTTCAGATAATTATAGAGTTGTAAATATTAAGTCAGTTTTCCCAAATTTTAAGGACCAGTTACTTTCCAAGTTAGAGAATAAATTGAATAAGGGTTACATTCAGAACCTGGCTACTTGTGTGTAACCTTGTGTGTTAATAGCTAATTGCAAAATAAAATATCATTTCACTTAAAATTTGTTCAGTATTCTTGATAGTTTTGATGCAATACAAATATCAGATTTTACTCCCTAAGTTAATCTTTTTAGCATTAACTGGGCACTGTTCTGCCTTTCTTTACACTTTGCAGTTCTTTAAAATACACTGTTAAAGAGAGCAGTTAGCCATTTAAGTAGATATGCTTTTGCTATCAGGGTATACCTTTTGCCCCTCTGGTAAACAATAGCATTTATTTGGGTATTGTCTAATATTAGGAATGTCCAAGTTAAGATGGAAAGATGAGGTTGGTTATGGAAGTATTTCTGTGTGTTTTATTTGATTCCCAGCTCATATTTAAATTCTGTGAATTTGAGAGCAGATTATGCGTCATCTTAGAACTACTTTAGCATGTGCTTTTAAAGACTGTCCTCTCAAAAAGTAGCTATTGGGATGAAGGAAGAAGATACTAGGCTTTCTATTTACACTGCTTTTTTTTAAATTAAGCTTTATTACATGTTTTATATATGGCTAGTCATTGGCACCTTTATTCGGGATGTTAAAAGGTATTAATTAATTAGGGGACAGGAAAGTGGCAGGGATAAAGCAGATGAGGTGGAACTTAAGCCAAGTTAAGAAAAAATAGTGAACATCACTTTAGGATTTGGGCATTGGCGGGGAGGAGGATACATGGTAAAGGGCACCGAGAAAGTCACCCTAAAGCACCCAGGCTACTGTGTTTTGAGAGAAATTCATGGTCAGTAGAGTTTGGGCAAAGAGAGGAGTATTAGAGATGACAGTCCTGTTGGAACCAAATGATTGCATGTATGTAAATAAAAGAGTATAAAGTTGAGATTAATTTGTGAAAGGCCTTATATGTCATATAAGGAAGGTAGATTTATAGATGGTAGAAAATGGTAGGAATTTTGTAATGGGAATATAAATTAATTGGACTGGTATAAATAATGTTGGGAAGTGAGCAATGGCAGGGAAGCCCTTGAAGATAAGAATTTCTCCTAATGTCTCATTTACATGTCTCTTTTTCCAATTAGATTATTATAGTACAGTTTCCACTAGTAGAAAGTTTTATTTAGCTATATATATTGAGCTCCTGATACAGGGTCTGACACATGGTAGATATTTAATAAATCTTGATTTGCTTGAGTACCATTCAAGAGAAGCTAGTTTAATCATTCACCCAGCTCAGTGGTGAAGCTTACAACAATGTTGGAGGGAGGGGGAACTACGGGTAACAGGCAGAACTTATGTTCTCAGTTTTCCTTCAACTGTTAGCTGTAGCGGAGCTGATCAGAAGTAAAAGATTGACCTTACTAGGATGGCTGAGTCAATTAGTGTGTGAACCTATGACTCTAAAGCATTTTATATGTTATTAAGTCTCATCTGAGTGAGAGGTTACTTTTAAAGTGAGGTTAGTTTTAAAGGTAATAGTGAAATCAAACAAGATGGAAGCCGAAGTCAAGATAATTTTCCTTGCTTTTCTACAAACCTTGTTTTAACAACAAATCATAGTATATTTCAACGTGGATACAATTTCTGTCCTTTTGGTATAACTTCCCTCTTTTAGGGGTTCCCTGGTGGCTCAGCTGGTAAAGAATCCACCTGCAATGCAGGAGACCTGGGTTCGATCCCTGGGTTGGGAAGATCAAAGTTTATGTATAGTGCTTTGTTGTTAGTCTGCTTTCACATCCTATTTAATCCTTAAAAGAACCTTATATGAAGTTAGTAGGAGATTTTGTCCCATATGACCATTGGGGAAAGGGGTTTAGAGTGATTCAGCCTCAAATCACATAGCTAATACTTGATTGAATTTATATTTGGCATTAAATGTAGAGAGGCAGAAAGGAAAGATTTGTGAGGGCAGACTCTGGAGTCAGAACTGGATTTTAGTCTGTTTCAAAACTTAATAACCCTATATCTTAGGCAATTTATATAATCTCTTTATGGCCTCAGTTTCTTTATCCATAGGTTGGGGTTCTTATCCTAGTTTTTGTAAGTATACACTGTCCAGTATGGTAGCCATTTGCCACATACGGCTATTTAACATTCTTTATTTTCATACTATCTTATTAATTTGTTGTCAGTTGCTAAGTCGTGTCTGACTCTTGTGACCCCATGGACTTTAGCTTGCCAGGCTCCTCTGTCCATGAGATTCCCCAGGCAAGAATGCTGGCATGGGTTGCCATTCTTTCTCCAGGGGATCTTGCCAACCGGGGATCTAACCTGCATCTCTTACATTGGCAGGTGGATTCTATTCTGCTAAACCACCAGGGAAGCCCATCTTAATAGTTTTTAATATTGATTACATTTTGAAATGATAGTGTTTTGGATAGTGTGTTGGGTGAAATATAAAAATTAGTGTTACATATTTTAATTTTTTAATATATGCTAAAAAATTTTTAATTATGTTTGTGGTTTGTATTATACTTCTGTTGGCCAGTACTCCGCTAAACCAAGAGGTAGCAAACTCTGGGCCACCACCCCCCCACAAATTCAGCCAGATAAGCCTATTTTTATAAATAGAACACAGCCACACCCATTTCATTCTGTGTGGTATGTGACTGCTTTTCATGCTACAGCAACGGGATTATTTTGTTGCTGCATATATAATAACCATATGGCCTGCAAGGCCTAAAATATTTACGGTGTGATCCTTTATAGAAAATGTTTGCTGGAAATTTCCTGTCAGTCCAGTGATTCAGACTCTGCAATTTGACTGCTGAGGGCACGGGTTCAATTCCTGGCTGGAGAACTAAGATCCCACAAGCCATGCAGCCAGGGCAAAAAGAAAACCGTTGCTGACCTTTGCACTAGATTGTAATTGATAGATGCTTCATGTATTTTATCTTTGCTTAAGAGTGAATGTGAGAGACAGAAAGTAAATCAGTGGTGGGTCAGTGGACCAGAGGGGAAAAGATAGTGGAGTGTGTTAATGGATGCCAGGTTTCTTTTTGGAGAACAGTGAAAATGTTCTGGAGTTAGATAACAGTGACAGTTGTGCAACTTCGAAGATACCAGAAACCACTGAGTTGTGTACTTGAAAAGATGGTATCTCAAATTTTTTTTCTTTAAGTGCATACGAGCCTGGTTTGTAGATGTAATAAAGCAATACATTAAAACATGTTCATGATGATGGGAATGTGTAAAGAAACATGCAAATCAACTGTGGAGAATAAGAAAAAATTGTAATTGATTTTTATATATTCTGTTGTCACTTGAAATTATTTGTCAATAGTTTCTTGGTAAGAAAAGCAATCAGCTGTCATTTATTGCTTACTCAAACTGTCATTTACTGCTTACCCTATTCTTTTTCATTGTAAACTTTTTAGTATACAATAATACATACATAGCCAATCTCAGTAAATAAACAAGTGTAAATTAACAAGTATAAATAAAATCTGTATTATGAATAGTAATTCTCTTCTGGAAACACTTATCATGGCCTTGTGAAATTTTTAGCAGGCTTTTGAAAGAAGAAAATATTAGCAGAAGGGAATTGGAAGGCCATTCTAAAAATGTCCATATTTTGTATGCATGTAGGTGTTTTTCTTGAATGAATTACTATACATGAACCATATTCAAATCTTAGATATTTTCACACTGCTTTGAAACTGACAAAATATTAGCTGCTTTGTGTAATTGACTCATTAATTTGTTATACGTAGAGTATGCCAACAATCTGTTTTTTGAAATCAAAAAACCAATAATCAGTGCATCATTTTCTTTCTGACCACTCGCAGTAGTCTTTTGTTTTATTGTGCTGAAAACACCATGGTATAGTGGCTTATTTATGATTTAGGGTAGGGTAGCATGATGTCTAAGAGCACAGACTTTGGAGCCAGATAGACCTATTTCCTAATCTGTTAACTTCATGTGACCCAGAACAGCCTATTTAATACTGAACATCTCTAAATCTTTGTTTTCTCGTCTCTAAAATGGGAATAATAATGTCTCCAGTGATTTTTTTTTTTAAGGAATAAAGTATTAAGTGTAAAGTACTTAGCATATAGTAACCACTGAATAAATGATAACCTCATACTGTTATTGCCATTTAATATGTTAAGTTTTTTAATCAAACTTTTTTTGGTTGTCAGCATCATATATTTCATTATGTATTTTACTGACTTCCTTTTCAAAAACATAATGAAATATTAAGTAACATTCTGTTTTATTTTCAGTCAAAGAAAAATAAGAAGAAATCAAAGTCAGATGCTAAAGCAGTGCAAAACAGTTCACGCCATGATGGAAAGGAAGTTGATGAAGGTACTTGAGCAAGTGAAAGGACTGTAGGAAAATTTTTAATCTTTTTTTTTTTTTTTTTAACCAAGGTGCATTATATAAAAGCTGCATTTGTTTTGCTTAATCTTGTATCTAGCTCTTCTGTTTAATAACTCTAGATTTTAATGTACACATCAGTGACATTATTAGGAGACACTTTTTCCCCTAAATTATTTAAGGATCTAATAGTTCTCTCCTTAAAGGGAACTGCCTTGAAATTTAATGTCTAGCTCAATATCTTGAGCAATTTAAAAACCATTCATTTTGTCTTTGTTTCCTAGAAGTGTGGCTTGGGGTTTTCCCATTGTTCTTAAGTATACCATCTCTAGAAGACCCTGTATAAAATTTTTAAGTAAACCATTTATTGTCCTCACCTAATAAACCCATTTTGTTAATAAGTATATATAACACTTTCCTACTAGTTCTTCCCAGCAAGATAAAAAAAGATATAACTTCTCTCCATTTTTTTCTAAACCATAGATGACAGATCTGATCAAAATTGCCAGAATAAATAATGGCAATTAGCTGCCTGAAACAGCACAATTAGAATAAATTCACAGGATAAATGAATATAATCAGCACTCTCGGTTTTTAGTTTAATATCTAAATTTATCATGATAGTTCAGGTGCCCCACCCTATTTTCCCCTGAAAATTAGAACCTTTTTGTCTTCGCCCTACTGAATAACACTTTTCTTTCTGGGGCTACGTCAGGAGCCTGGGAAACTAAGATTAGTCACAGAGAGAAGCGGCAGCAGCGTAAGCGTGATAAGGTGCAGTCTGACTCTGGCTCATTGGATTCAACTGTCCCTGGGATAGAGAGTACCACCACAGTCACCACCGAGCAACTTACAGCTGCGTCATTTCCTGTTGGTTCCAAGAAGAATAAAGGTATATTAGTGGAACATAAGAGTGATATATCAAATCCAATTCCTTTAATCAGACGTACAAAATATGATTACATCAAAATCTGGCTGTTTTTAACTGCTTACCTCATTGTGCTGATATACCCTTCTTCATGAGAGCATGTGGACCACGTACTGGTTTACCTGATACCAGCAGTGTTACTTGTTACATACTGCCTAATGAATGACCTATTAAAGTTGCCTTTCTGCCTTGAGTCACATGAGAAAATGATTGTTGCTTTTTTCTCATGTGTATTGCTTTGACCCAACTCTTTAACATCTCCATTTCTTATAGTGGACATTCATTAAATGAAATGACTTTATCCCCATTCTGCATGTTGGGTGCTTTCATTCCAAGATGAAACAAGCATGTTCTGGATAGTGTGGGTTCTGTCTGAATTTCTTATCACCCCAACTCTTTGAGAATGCTGTAGGTGTTTGAAAAAGGTAAACTGGAACTGCAGACATTATTGAGCTACTGCTCTTCGCAAGTTTTCAGATGTTCAAACTATCCAATACTGATGGCCTCTTGGTAATTCTTACATTACTATCATTTTTACCCTGGAGACATCAGACTGCAGAGTGATGCTGTTCATCTTGCTTCAAAGCATTGACTTTTCTCCCTCTACCTTTTCATTAATTGCCAGCACTTCCCCTATGTCTTAGCCTTGATAGCTTTTCCCTTTTTTTTTTTGGATAGCTTTTACTTTTTTGCTTCATGGTTTGGTGGAATTTATTGCATTGATTTCTGCTTATCCATTTTCACTGTCACCTGTTAGCCATGCTATAGTGTTTATGTTGGTGACCCTTTTTCACTGTTTTCCTGCATGCCTTCCTTGCTAGCACAGTCCTGTGTCATGCTGATTTTTTGATAACATTGTGATCATTATGCTTTTTCGTGTCAGAGAAATATCAGTAGCGTGTATGTTATGACGTTACAGTCTCACCTCTTGCATATTTCCTAAATCCTGGTCCAGATATTGGCAAAATTGTTCTTAAGTTGATGTGTTTGCTTCCAGGATTCTTGAAAAGGCAGCTAGCTGCTATTGTTGAGAGGTGGCAAAGTTGAATCCAATTACAGAGTCCAGTTCTCCAATTCCTCCTTTAAAGAATCTTGATAACCATTGTAGAACAGGAGACCCTATCTATATCTACTCGGGCAATTTTCCAGGTCCTTTATTGGCATTTTAGTTGACTAAGAATATGGTTAACTAGAGAACTCAGTTCCTAAGAACATGTGAAATATGTTGTGAGTAAAACTTTTTTCCAGTATAAGACTAGTACTTCAAGGAACAATTTAGTATAATTAGTAAAAAATTAATTTGTATGTTACTCCTAATTTTAATGTGCATAATAGCCTATTTAGTAGTAAATAAATATTATTTTTATTTCAACCAGGTGATTCTCATCTAAACGTTCAAGTTAGCAACTTTAAGTCCGGAAAAGGAGATTCTACACTTCAGGGTGAGAGAAATTACGTGTAACTTAAATTGAAGGCCCATCAAAGTATTAATAGAAACATATATTATATATGTCTCTTTCCTCACATGAATGACACCGAAAGAAAAAAAAAGGCTTAGAAATTATTTTAATTACTAAAGTAATATAATCATAGTTCAGAGATTTTGGAAAATAGATCAATGGAAAAGTCACTCCCACTTCTAACAGTCTTTGGTATATTCTCATTGTTCATCCCTCTCCCTTGTATGAAAAAACATTCTTTGAGTAATAGTTTATATGCAATTTTGATTCTTGCTTGCATTGTTTAAGCCAATAGAGAGAAATATTTCTTTTTTCCCATGGACTTGGATTTTATATAGGCATATATGGGATAAAAGACTTTATTCCTGTTTATTAAATGAGAAACCTTAATACCTTTAATCTTCTGAACTGCTTCCTGAACAATATCAAGTCTTTCATAATAAATGGACTGTAGTCTAAAATTATACAGTACTTCACAAATAGAAAATATATTTTATTTACTAAGTTATGATAAAGATTGAATTAAGTAGAGAGTAGTATCTGTTACCTAAAAGCTGAAGTGTTTGTAGTGAAACAAAAATTCAGAAATGAAGAAGCAACTTATTTCAGACTTTTTCTTAATGCTTTCAGCCTCCTTCGTTCTCAGTCCTGGCTATTAGAAGACCACACATGTAAATAAAAAGAATCATGTACTTATATACACACGCCTATGTATATTTTTGTGTGTGTGTATATATACACAGATAACATGCATTACATATATGTATGGATACCTGCATATAAATGTGTACACACAAACATACTGATGCCTGGACTCTACCCCTAGTAATTTCAATTTTGATTGATTTGGGCTGAGGTTCTAATGTCTTCAGTTCAGTCGCTCAGTAGTATCAGACTCTTTGTGACCCCATGCAGTGCAGCTTGCCAGGCTTCCCTGTCCATCACCAACTCACAGAGGTTACTAAAATTCAAACTCCAGTGTCTACATCTAAGAAATTTTTCATTTGATTTTAATGTGTAGCCAGGTTTTAGAATCACTGCCTTAGACATAATATATATGGATAAACATTTAAGGAAAGAGCATGTAACTAAGGAGAAGCCTTTGTGTTTTTAGTGGGTGAGTATTCTGAGTATACCAGAATGTTTTCCTATTTGCTCTGTTGTACTTTTGAGCAAGTCAGTCTGCTTTTGAAAACGTTATTACTGTGTGAATATGCATATATAAGCTGAAATCTACTTGTATTTTTTAAAAGTCATTGATGGTGGTCATGTCACTTTTCAGATCCTTCATTTTATCTTTAAAGTTTGAACTGTTTAGAGGATAGTAGGGGGGGAATGAGTGATAAATGTAAGCCAAGCAATTATGGAAATTTGAAAATATCCCAGTTTTAAGGAGTCATGTATCCATTTTTAATCTTTGTTTTCTCTTCTTCAAGTTTCTCCAGGATTGAATGAAAACCTCACTGTAAATGGAGGAGGCTGGAATGAAAAGTCTATGAAACTCTCCTCACAGATCAGCGCAGGTGAGGAGAAGTGGAACTCTGTTTCACCTGCTTCTACAGGCAAGAGGAAAACCGAACCATCTGCTTGGGGTCAAGACACTGGAGATGCTAATGCAAATGGAAAAGACTGGGGAAGGAGTTGGAATGACCGATCAATATTTTCCGGCATTGGTAAGAGCTGTTAGAAAATTTTAAGCTAGTTTAAAATGCTTATCTGGTACATTTAAAATTTTCCAAGAATGAAAAACAGATCCATTGGTAGAAAAATTAGTCAAGCTATACAGAAAGAAAATGACTGCCTCATCTCAGATCTTTCACATGGAGCAAACTGGAAACTAAATAAGTGAATAATAGCATTTATTATTTACTCTTAATGCTTTTATCACATTTGATTATCAGTGTAGCTAACTGGTATAATTGTGTATTTTTAGTTTTATAATTAGTGTAATGAGTGAGCAGACTTCTTGAAGTACGCTTATTGAGTTTAAATAAAAGTAATAAATGGAGGTACAGTTTCTAGCATCAATTTTATATACTGTTTTACAGTCTACAAAAATGGCTGTTGGTAATTAATTTTTCCCCTGGATTCTAAAGATAAAGTCTATTAGTGAGAGCCTTATTTCTGCTGAGAGCCTTCAAGTTAAAAGCAACTTAATTTCAGGTTGTGTGTGTGATAGAAAAGAGATGCGTATTTAATATGGAAAACTGCAAAAAGAAGGAAGAACCTACTCTTAATCACATCACCCAGTGGCAACCTTTCCTATGGTCTTTTTTTTTTCCCCTGTGTACAGTTTCAGTATTTTCTTTTTTTCCCCCCCATAATCCAAATCATGTATGCATTTTTGTTTTCCTCCTCCCTCACTTAATGTTGTACCTCAAACATTTTCTTTACTTTCTGTATTTCATTTAATGATCCTACAATGTTGTGTAAGCATAGCATAGACTATCACTGTTCCCACATTATGAGAGAAATAACTTTTCTTTTTTAAAAGAAATATAAATGATGTTGTACTGAATATATTTGTTGGAGGTTACTTCTTTAGGATGGATTCTTGAAAGTGATATTATTGGATTAAAGGAAATATGAATGTTTACAATGCTCTACAACATGTTGTCAAAGTATTTTCTAGGAAAGTTCTAATTTATACTGTCAGCATCAGTATGAGTATCACTTATCATGTGTATATTATCAAGGTTGAGTATTCTTTTTTAATCTTTTCTAATTTAATAAGAAAAAATACATAAATTATTTTGATTAACTTTTTTAAACCACTAATGGGGTTGGATATTTTTCACAACTTTCTTGATCATTTCTGTTTCTTTCATAAATTGTTTATTCATGTTCTTTGCCCATTTGTGTAATGGCCTCTTGTTTTTTGTGCTTTAATTTGTAATTCCTTGTGCATTAAACATATCTTTTCTGTTAAGCTGATAGCAGGTTTATTTTAGTTTAGGGGATTGATAATTACAGAATTTTTAGTGTTTAAATAGAAAAAACTATTTCTTCCTATATTATTTGCTTTTCCCATCACTTCCAAGCTTAGAAAAACTCACGTTGAGCAACATCCCCAAGAAACAGACCTCAGATCATTTGCTAATATTGTTCTTAAGCTTGTTCTCTCTTCCCCTGCAATGTCCAAAAATTGTGTAGAAATAACAAAATTTGTTTTGTAAAAGACAGTCCCTAAATTCCTAGCCTCATTTCAGCAGTGATAAAAAAATAACTTTCTATGGTATAAAGCATCCTTTCTCACTTAATAAAAGAAATGGTCAATGTTTAATCAAGTAATCTGAAGAAGAACCTATGACCTTTTGAAATATTTGTAATTTACTTATAAAAGCTATGTAGTATTAATCATAATTAGGACATAAATTAGATGGTAGTACTTGCTTAATATTGCTGTAGATAAAATTAAACATCAGATTAGAGTTCCTGCCTAGATGGATTAGGACCTTTATTGAAATTGAAAGGAACTGTATTAAATGAGGGTTGCAGTTAGTTTCTGAGAAGAGGCAGATGTGACTGCCCTCACAGATGTATATGTTCCTTAAAATACTCATATGAAGTAGGAAATTGCTTTAAAAATGTTGAGAAGATATCATAGTATAGTGGAATGAGCATGTTCCTAGTTCAGACAGACCTACTTGGTACAATCCCTGTTTTTCCACATACTAGTTGCTATGGAGATGAGGCTAATTGTTGAAGCTCTGTGAACCTCCTATTTAAGCAGTTTAAAGGATTGTCTATAATGAATGTCAAGTCCCACGTTTCAGTGCCTGATCCAAGCTAGTAGTAGCTTCATTGTGGCGCACGATCAGGCGTGTCGCCATAGTAGAGAAAATATGGGCTTGGAAGGCTGGCTCAGGTTCCAGGCTGGCTCAGGTGTTTTCTGTCAGCAAGTCACTTAACTGCGCTGAAACTTTACCTAACAGCGTTGCCCTGAGGATTAGAGGTAGTGGGTGTCAAGAGCCCAGTACATAACAGACACCCAGTAAACAGTCGCTATTGCTGTACTAGGTGGGTCAGATTTCTCAGGGTGTCTTTTAGTATTATTATCATAGTTTTAAATCTGTACATGTCTTTCAAGTCTCATTGCAAATTGAAGGTTCCAAGTGACGTTCTTTATTTTAACAGCTGCTTGGTCTAGTGTGGATAGGGGAATGAATACCTCTGAACAGAATTCTGCTTCTTTTGCATCTCTCACACTTAACTCTGCTGTTTCTGGTATGTGAAAACAGTCTTTCATTTAGTTAACAAAGAATTTTCTGTTTAATTTTAGCACTTGTTCTTTGAAAAAATAATCAGAGTCAAGTACTGCTAGCCACATAAATTATAGATTAAACAATATAAAGTAGCAAAGGCCTTGAGACAGAGAGCGAAAGACCTAAACTCTTACCTGCTGGTGGCTTAGTTCCTTTTGTTGTATAGATAGGAAGATTCTGTGGCCTAACATAACTGAAAACTTGTTGGCACACATGCAGACAAATGCAAATATTGATAGAAGGCCTTCCTTCAAAACCGTGACACTTCTGTTACTAGTTTATTCCATTATTACTACCAAACTACCATCAATCCAGCATCACTTACATAAATATGCCATTTATTAATAATAGTTCGCGGACCCAGTGTGCTAACCATGTAGTTCCATAGCGTCTGGAGCACTAGTCTAGAGGAGAGGTCAGCAAACTTTATGTGTAAAGGGCCCAATAATAAATATTTTAGGCTATGTGGGCCATTCTGCCTTTGTAGCAGGGAAGAAGCCAGAGGCAATGCATAAACCAGATGAGTGTGTCTGGGTGAAATTTTGTTCTCTTGACTTTCTTTCAACCATTTAAAAATATAAAAACTGTTCTTGGCTCCTGGGCCCGTACAAAAAGGGGGTAGCTAGATTTGGTTTATGAGTTGTGCTTTACCAACCCCTGGTCTTACAGGCTACATTGTAGTTCCAGAGGTACAAGTTAATGTTTTCCTTCATTTGGTGACTTTGTACAACACAGATGCTGTTCTCTCTATATATTCAGAGAAAGCTGCTAAAGAAATAGCAACAGTGTTACTATAGTCTTTCTAAACAACTAATGTGCTAATTATATATGAATTTTATAGAGTTGCTCTACTTGTTAAAGTTTATTTTTAAAATATGTGACCATTTTGAGTTTATGTCAAGCATGTTAGTGGTAAGCTAATCTACAACCAACTAAAAATCTGTGAGGATTTTTATGAGAGGAAGTGATTATGGCTTAGTCTCTTATACAAACATATTCTTCTTAACCCTTTCTTTATATCTGTGGCTCTGAATCCAAAGTGTGAGTATCAGAGTCACCTAAGAAGGACTCCAAAACACAGGCAAATTCTGATGCAGAAGGTCCATGGTATATAAATCCCTGATGGAGACCCACCGCTTCACATTTCCATGCTAAAACGAGCTATGGCAGTAGAGCCAAGGGTTTTGACCTGGCGTCTTTGACTGTGTATGCCCTGGAAACTGTGCGGTTCGCAGGATTTCGTGGAAGTCCTGGCCAGGAGTCTAAGCATGGCTTTCCTCATGCTGCTTGAGGGCTGTGTGACCCCCACTCACCACACTTAATCCCCACCTCCCAAAGAAATAAAGAGAAAATTTAGAAGATAATTTTCTCTTCTCTTTAAGTGCACTTGAACTTAAGTTGGTCTCTAAACCACCGGCACAGCTCTCTAAATTCTCTTCAGCTTCTTTCTGCCTCACTTCTCTAAGTATCATCTATTTCTTTTGTCTTTTTCCTTAGAAAGTTCTAGGAAACTCAGACATTTTGTAATTCTCTCCTTCAGGGTTCTAAGGATATAGGGATATTCTGAAACATCTAGGGTTTTTTGAATGCTTTATTACTTTTCATTAAGAAAAATAAAACTTTTTTGACTTGAAATTTGGAGATAGCCAATTTGAAGTATATATTAATAAAAGATAAAATCTAATGGATCGGTACTAGGGAAAAAATAGATTTCTGATCAATGAATTCAATCTAGTGATTATCATACTTAATCTAAAATTACCACCAATTCTACTTTTCTTTATCTTAACTCTTTTTCTAATGTCTGAATTTTTCCTTTTAGGAGAAATGAAAAATAATTAAATCTTCGTGTGCAAAGTATAGAATATTGTTATGAAACATCATTAGAAATTTCCATTTTTAATTTTATTGCATTCGTTTTCATTTAAGGGTCTACTGCTGAGCCAGTTTCTCAGTCTACCACTTCTGATTATCAGTGGGATGTTAGCCGTAATCAACCCTATATCGATGATGAATGGTCTGGGTTAAGTATGTCCTTTTATCAGTTTGCTTTTGTTTTTGTTTTCAGAATTTTCTTTCTAGCACCCTGAATTCATGTTTATGTTTTAATTTTAATTCTAATTTTCCACCTTTTAGGTCATAACAATATAATTTAATACCAAATGTATCCTACTTATAAACCGATTATTAAATACCTGTAGAATTTAAAAAAAGAAAACTAAATTCGGTTTTCATGATTGAGGCAATATTTAAACATGAAGTTTTCTTATAGTTGCACTGTAGTTTTTATAGTTTTTGAAATTGTTTGTTTTAAATAAATGTTTTATTTATTTCCCTAGTTTTAATATACTAGAGTGAATAGAATATATAAGAATGGCTTTGAATTTGTGAGGTATGCAGGTTTTTATGTTGGTAGAAAACAGTTTTCTTAGTCTAATTTCCAGTAGAAGCATAAGAAAGTTAAAGGCAAGAATCACAAAAAAGAGGAAGGGGGGAAGAATATGATTTTTATGTTCAGAAAGCTCATACCATCTTCATTTAAAAAAAATAATTTTTTTCCCCCACAACCTCAAATCTTAGAATTTACAACCCTCTGAAGACAGGAGCTCTCTTTGACTTTTCTTTCTGTCAGTACTTAGTGCAGTGCTTTATACAGGTGTTCAGTAGTGATGTTACAATAAAGGCAAACACCTGACTGTGCCAGGCGCTGATCTCAGTGGTTTAAGTCTTATGTATATTATTTGTTTAGTACAGTTCTAAGAGGTGTAGGTATTATTTTTTCCCCACACTTTGCAGATGAAGAGACTGAAACAAAGAAAAGTTATCGAATTTTCCCCAGCCACACAGTTAAGTTGGAGGAGCAGCTATCAAACTTTGGTAGTCTGGCTCCAGAGTTCATGCTCTTAACCACTACATGTACAGCCTTGGTGATGATAGTAATCATGAAGGTAAGTTTGAAGCACAGTCTGAAAATCAGTCTTAGACTGGTCTCTTAGATTAGTTGAAGCATAATTCTTAGAGGTTGAGGGAGATGAGGTTGGAAAGGTAAATTACGAAGGACCATACTGTAAAAAGCCTTGAGTATTAGTCACTCAGTCGTATCTAACCCAACTCTTTGTGACCCCCATGGACTGGTGCCTGCCAGCTCTTCTGTCCATAGAATTCTCCAGGCAAGAATACTGGAGTGGGCTCCCATTTCCTCCTCCAGGGAATCTTCCCCACCCAGGGGTCGAACACAGATCTCCTACATTGTAGGCAGATTCTTTACCATCTGCTGACTAAATATTAGGGAGTTAAGGGTCAGGATACTAGTTTAGAAGGTAGATCCTAGTTCTAATCCTGACTTTAAAAAGTAGCAACTCATATGTCTTGAATTTTGTCACTTATCTTGGAATCTAGATTAACTGACCTGTAACATAGAGCAAATAGTCTCTCATATCTATTTTCATAGAGTGTTACGAGGTTTTAATGAGATATTGAATGAACATGAAAATTCTTTGACAATTATAAAGTATCAGATAAATAACAAAGTATTATAAAGATGTGAAAGCAATTTTTAGAGGGGAAAAAAAGCCTTACCTGTACTTTGGGAAGAATGAACAGCTGTGTGCAAAGTAGACTTGAGGAATGATTATACGACTAACAGGTAATGATTGTAAGAAAATAGCACTGAGGTGTCTTGGGCAGCTGTGGGTTAAAGCTGAGAAAAACTGAGCAAGCAGGGCTCTAGGCTTCACTGCTTGGACACAGCAGCTCTACTTTTTATCCTTGTATAAAAAACACAGTTGGCTAATAAATATACTGAAATAAACATATCCATGGGACTCTGTTCTTAAAGTAATAAGCGTTAAGAACACTTTCTTTGCTCATTATGCTGTATGGGCAGTCTTTTTAAGTCCTCAGTTACTCTTTAACCACATTTTTTCTGAATTTTATTTTTTGTGTTACCTTCTTTAATGTCCCTAATTTTGGTACTCAGTGAATTTAGTCATTCCTTCTAAATTTATAGAATACATGAAGTATTTGAGATTACTAATCCCACAAAGTATATATATTATTTAACAGTGTGATTTGAGTAATACATTGACCCTCTGGTTTGAGGCATAGACATCATTATCTGGCAGAAAGGCACTTAATTTACCGAAGCACTTGAATATACCATTAAGATGCTGGGACTTCCATGGTGGTCCAGTGGTTAAGACTCCACGTTCCCACTGCATGGGGCACAGGTTCGCTCCCTGGTCAGGGAACTAAGTTCCTGCCTTACAGCCAAAATAGTTTAAAAAATAAAATTTAAGATGCTAATCTGTCAATTATCTTGACCATAAAGGAACAATATCATAACCCCTATAAAAAGTCAGATTTTGAATAGAATTTTGTTTTTGTTGACTCATCAGAGTGAAAGAAGTAATGGCCCCATAGTGAAGAGGTTAAGAGCATGAGCTTTGAGGACAGACTGCCTGAGTTCGAATCTTTGCCATCTTGTTTTTCTCTGCTTCAGTTTCATCATCTGTAAATAATATTTCTTCCCTCACAGACTTATTGAGAGGATTAAATGACATAATACATATAAAACCCTTAGAACACTGCCCACTACATGGTAAATATTCAGTAAGTGTTGTGGTACTATTAATTGTCTTTTAGGAGCATAGTCGACTCAGTGAGGTTAACTTGTATTGTCTGTTTCAACACTGGAGAATGTCTTTCTAACATAGTTGTTTTGTTTTATTAAAGTTAATGCTGAATTAAGTTTTGACCAGAAACAACTGTCAGCCACTTTATTACTGAAATAGAAAGGAAAACAGCTATGAGATGCTTAAACCTAAAACATTGTTTCACAAGCAAATTAAATGGAGAGATATTTTGAAAAGACCCTTTTTGAAAAGACCATTTTGAAAAGACAGCTAATAAAAAAAAAAAGAAAAGACAGCTAATATAGTTCTTTGGAAACAGTTTAGCAAACTAATGGAAGAATTTTAAGAAATGAGAAATTATAATTGGAGAGAACTATGGCATGAATGAAACTATACTACACGATTTCAAGGAAACTGTCTAGAAGTTTATTAGGCCCATGAACTGTAAGAATTATGCATTGAGAAGTTGCCTGGTGACAATTTTTAGGCTTAGGGGATTGACCTGTTGTTTTAGAGTAGTTTTATTTGGGGAATTCCCTGGTTAGGATTCTGTGTTTTTCTGCTGAGAGCCCGGGGTTCAATCCCTGGTCGGGGAACTAAAATCCTACAAATGGGGCAGGGGTAGGAAGCAGTTTTATTTGATCTCCAGTTAATTTTAAAGGGTGGTCCAGTGGTTTCCACTGCAGGGGGCGCAGGTTCAGTACTTGGTTGGGGAACTAAGATCCCACATGCCACACAATGTAGCCACAAAAAACAGATAGGTATACCAACCTGAAATCAATAGACATGGAAAAATCACCATAAAGCTTTAATAAAGCCAGTAGAGATTTATGTTTCTGTTAATGTTCTGATAGAAGTTGAAGCATGGGCTACAGGTATTCCTCAAGTTTTATGGTTGTCTAAACCTTTAAAAAAAATAATAATTTTACCAAGTACTTTATTAGATTTTTATCCCTCACCACCCCTGCACCACTACCGTATTTATTAAGAGTTTATGTTCTTATTTATTCGCTAAGTTGTGTCTGACTCTTGCAACACCATGGACCTGCCAGGTCCCTCTGTCCGTGGGATTTCCCAAGCAAGAATACTGGATTGCCATTTCCTTCTCCAGGGGGTCTTCCTGACCCAAAGATTGAACCCGTCTCCTACATTGGCAGGTAGATTGTTCATCACTGAGCCACCAAGGAAGCCCCATTTGCGTAAAATTTTTTTTTTCCCCTTGACAAAGGGTTTTTTTCCTGACAAGAGGCCTTAAGAGATTTGGTTTATGAACACCAGTTTTCCAAATCTTACTTGTGAGGGTTAAGCAAAATCATTGACAACTTTGGCATTCAAATCTCCTAAAAATATTGTTAATGAATGCTTGGTGTAAGGTGAGCAGTTGGTTCCAGACATCTACTAGATCCATCTTCACTTATAAAAATGACTTATACATTAAGACATAACCAAGTGTATCTTATTGGGAGATTTACAGGATTGTGAGAAATAAAATTAATTGTATATGCCTGATAACTTTTAAACTGGCTTTCTATTATTAATGTAATCAATAATGTATAAAAACAGTAGATAGCATTTATTGAGCACTTACTGCATTGTCCTGAACTGCTTTACATGTATCTTATATAATCCTTTCAACAATCCTATGAAGTTGGTACATAGCCCATTAAGGTTAAGAAATTTGACCCAAATTACATAGTTATTAAGTAGTAGAGCAGTATTCAAATATAGGTCTGTTTGACTCTAAGACACCTTAGAGTCTTAATCTCTATGCTGTTACTGTGTGATGCTGGCTCTGCATACCTGCTTGTAGTAGGAAATACAGAAATATAGAAAGGAACTTCCTGTTTTGTAATATATTTCACACTTGGAGTCACTTGTCCATGCTTCTCCTATACTGGACCATAGATTCTTATGCTTTCAGTCTCTCCCCATCCTCTACTGGTTTAGTCCCTCTTATCCCTTTTTGCGCTTCTCATGACAGAATCTCACCCTGTACTTAACTGTCTGTTGTACTTCATCCCTGAGTAGACTGTGAGCTCCATGTGGGAAGGCATTTTGTCATACTCATTTTTGTATCTCTGTTACCTGTCTAGCTCAAGTTCTAGTACTTAATAAGATGAAATTCCTGTAACTCCATTGTTGAGATGTATCTATTATTAATGTATTCCTTAATCTCTTCCTTATATAAATTTGGGATCATGGTGCACAGACAGTTTTGTCTGCCTTTTTTTTTCCTATGAGCATTTTCCCAGATCATTACATATTTTTCTAAAAGATAGACTTTTTAAAAGTCTTGATGAAGATGTATCATAGTTCCTCCCCTCTAAACAAAAATAATAGAATTCATGTGGAAAAATAAGAATAGTGAAGAAAATAAGAGAAATGCAGGCAGATTTGTTTTTCTAGATGTTAAAATGCATACAGAGTTACATTTTGTATTCCACTATCCCAGGAATAGATGAATGGAACAGAAATTCCAGAAACAGACTGAAGTATATAAGAATTTATTATTTGGGAAGAGTAGCATTTGGCATTAATTGGGCAAAAGTCAGGGTTTGTTTTTTGGTTTTGGGGTTTTTTTCCCCCAGTTAAGAATAATGTTAGGATGACTTGCTAACCATTTAGAAATAAAGTCTAACTTCTGTTATCTTGACAGTAAGGGGTGTATACATGGATGTGTATGAAAGTCTAGGTTAAAAATTTTTTCTTAAATTATATCACCCTATCTTCAAAAAGATTGTTCTTGAGGATAGGGTGATAGAAGCCCTAAAAATGACACATATTTGGAAAGATGTAAGTAGCATTGAATAATCTGAAAAAAATGTAAGGTACAGGTTAAGTATTTTTAAAAAGAGGAGAAAAGGAAGAGGTTAAATATTCTGCATGAAGTTCATAAGGAGGGGAAGAGTGTGATTTTGGCACTTCTGTTAAAGACTCATTTTGTACCCTGGGGGAAGGAATCAGAAAACAACAACAAAAAAAATGACCAAGTCCTTCTTATAGTTAGATATACACAATGAAAAGAAAGCAAATTCAGGTTACAAAGTTCCTTTGATAATAAAGGAAGTAGGAAGAATGTAATAAATGGTTAATTAATAAGTTTTCTGGAGTTTCTTAGTCATTCCATCTAGTCATGTAATGTGCCCAGCAGAAGTTGGGGAAAGGCTTTTACCATCATGTTACTGGGTTTTTTTCCTAGTTCTTAAAATGTGATTGGGAGGAAGAAGAGTAATAGTTTAAAATTACAGCTTAGTTCAACATAAAGAATTTGAGGTTTTGCATTTGGTTTTTGGCAGAAGTGACAGATAACCTGATTCACACTGTTAAATTTTAGATGGTCTGTCTTCTGCTGATCCCAGTTCTGATTGGAATGCACCAGCGGAAGAGTGGGGGAACTGGGTAGATGAAGAAAGAGCCTCACTTCTGAAGTCCCAGGAACCAATTCCTGATGATCAAAAAGTGAGTAAAAGGATTGGTGGGTATGTTTATTTCTCTATGCATCCAACTATATTGGAATTATTAAGGGTTACATTCTGTATTATAAATGTATCCAGGGGTAGAACTGCTTCAGAGAGGCATTCTAATCATACTAGCTTCAATCATCTTAGGGTCGCATGCCTTCTCTCTATTACTATTTCTTCTTTCCACAGATTACTGAGGATTCTATGTGGAAAGCATTACTATATATTGATAAGAAAACAAACGCACAATTCCTGTCCTCTTACCAGAATTATTTATCAGCCTACCAACTCTTGGTGTGTTTAGATACAAGCAGATTGGATCTCAGTAAATAATTAAGGAAAGTTCCATAGCAAGATAAGACTGAGAACATTATGAAAAAGGAGCCAAGGAAAGTAACATGTTTGATGGGGAGGAATAATACACCTGTGGAATCAACTGGTGGTAGGATCAGTGGTTTACATGTCAGTCTTCCCCTTCTAGGCTTCATTCCTTAAGGAAAGGGACTGTGGGGAAAAAAAAAAAAGGAAAGGGACTGCAAGTCTCTGTTTTGTAGCTCTAGCAACATGTTTGGCATTTAGTAAATAGATGAAACAAATGATGTAGATTGCCACAGTTTTATGGAATTCTGTAAGTAATGAGAACCTACGGACAGTCTTTAAACCAGGGATAAAAAAAATAAACCAGGGATAACCTGGTCATTGCTGGGGTTAGAAATTAGGCAAGATATTGCAGAAAATTGAGAAGACTGATTTTGGAGCCTATTTTGTACATAATTACATAAATCAGGGCAAGAGATAATGAACTAAGTTGATAGCTTTGAAAAAAAATGGAAGTGATATTTACAAGAGACACTAAGCTACTGATTGAACTTTTATGCTGGTTAGTTTTTCTATTAAAAAAAAGTCAAAGAGAAGATAATAGGGCCATTATTATTCAACAAAGATTAATTTCACCTGCTGTGGCTCAGATATTGTGCTAGTAGAGAAAATATAATTACTGCCTTCAAGGAGCCTGCACTCCAGGTAGGGAGGAGAGGAAAGAGACCAGCACTCTGGAAGATAAAGGTAATACTACAATGTATCAGGTATTATGAAAGCACCTTGGAGTTTTAGCAAAGGCATCCCAGAGGTAAGCGCATAATGGGGTCAGAGCAAAGGGGTCAGAAATGAGACTGGAAAGGAAAGCAGAGGGAAGATTCTACAAGCCCTTGAATATCATGCAAAAAACCTTGGATTTTTGTCCTGTAAATAATGGGAGAATCTTAAAGTGGTTTGTTTTGTTTTTGTGAGATATTTTTGTTTGTTTTTGTGGGGGTGTTTTTGTTTTGGGGGTTTTTTTTTTTTTGGCTACTTTGGTAATCCCTGTAGATAAAGGAATGGAGGTGTGTAAGAATAAAGGCAGGAATACCAGTTTAAACGTTGTTTTAGTAGACGTGTACAGCAGTGGTAAGAATAGTATACAGAGTAGGGGAGAGGTTTGAAAAATAAATTGAAGCAAAATTAACAGAACATATGGTTAGAATTGATTGGAAAAAGAATCATCAAAAATGACTTCCAGAACGCTTAGGTAACTGGGATAGTGAAAGTGGTATTCCCAACAGAGAAAACAAAAGCTAGTTAACTGAGGGGAAAGGTGGTTGGTTCAGTTTGGAATGTGTTAGATGCGGGATGTTTTGTAGATTGGCCTAAGAAAAGTTGTGGTACACAGGCTTAGTTGTTCAACGCCATGTGGGATCATCCCAGACCAAGAATCAAACCCATGTTCCCTGCATTATAAGGTGGATTCTTAACCAGTGGACCACCAGGGAGGCCCATAATGTTAATTTTTTCATGAGTTAAAAGATGTTAATTTCAGCCTTTTTCCCATGAGCAAAAATAATGTTCTACCATGAGGAATCACATTTCTCTTATGGATGGATTATAAATTGGCTGAAAAGCAGACAGACTGGAGTCCTTGTGACCTGAATATCCTTCAGAGGATGCATCTTTTCATATGATATTTTCATCATTATGAGCCTGTGGTTAAAACCTCTGTGGAAGTTTCTCCACAGCTAGGAACCGACTTGGATTGAACGTCTCTTAACCAAGATTCTAATTTGCTATTTTTGTCATGCACAGTATTATTTTTAATGACATTCCTTCTCCCATTTTTTTTTTAATTAAGGCTTTTGTTTTGAGGTAATTTTAGAGTCACATGTACTTACAAGAAATAATACAGAGAAAAATCACCTGTACCTTACCCAGGGGCCCCCAATGATAACATCTTGCAGAACTCTAGGACAGTATCACAACCAGGACCTTGACACTAATACAGTCAAGACAAAGAACATTTCTAGGGCTTCCCTGGTGGCTCAATGGTGAGGAATCCACCTGCCAATGCAGGAGACAGGGGTTGCATCCCTGGTCTGGGAGGATCCCACATGCTGCGGAACAAGAGAGCCCGAGAACTACAGCAAATGAAGCCTACATACTGTGACTCAAGAGTAGCCCCCACCCGTCACAACTAGAGAAAAGCCCACACAGCAATGAAGACCCAGCATAGCCCCCAAAATAAATATAAATAAAAAATTTTTAAAGATGCAGAACCTTTCCAGTCACTTTGTGAAATACCTGTTTATATCTTTTGCATGTTTTTCAACTGGATTGTTTGTTTACTGTTGAATTTTGAGTGTTCTTCATATAATTTGGATACAAGTCCTTTGTTGGATATATGATTTACAGATACTTTCTCTTCCTCTGTACCTTGTCATTGTCTTAACAGAGTCAAATTCAATTTTAATGCGAATAGCTCTGTGTTTAAATAAAATGAATGACCTATGAAATGAACTTTTAAAAACCAATGTTTGCACAGCTCTAATTGATCATGTAGTGAATAATGAAAGATGTAAGAAAAAGGGGTTTATCATAAACGAATAGAAGAGTGAAGAAGAGTTTTGTTATTTTTTGTGTGACTTAAGATCAGTTTTCTTATTACTAATATGTAAAATTTGGGAGAAAACGACTAAACCTAATAAATCATTTCCTAAATTCTGAATAAAGAAAACTTCATTGATTCATTTCAGTACTTTTTCTTTAACATCAGGTTTCAGATGATGATAAAGAAAAGGGAGAGGGAGCTCTTCCAACCGGAAAATCTAAAAAGAAAAAAAAGAAAAAGAAGAAGCAAGGTGAAGATAATGCTCTTGCACAGGTAAAGTATCAAAACAACAGATATCCTTCATTAAGCACCTACTACTGACTTACAAAAGGATCATTTGCAGATGCTAAGAAAATGTAGAGATATAAAGATAGAGAATGTGAGACATCAGATTTACTTAGTGTTTGAAAAATCATAGAATGTTTTAAAGGTTTTATATATCATATTGTAATAAAAAGATTATTGCTCTAAAGAAAATCATATCAAAGATGTAAACCAAAGCAACTAACTAAAATTCTAAATTAGTGTACTTGGGTTTATATTATGGTAAAATGAAACAGGTTACGGTATTTCATACTCAGAAATTCTTTGAGCAGTGGAATTTAGCAGATTAGAATTTTTTTTCCCCCATTTTTATTTATTTATTTTTTTTACTTTACAACATTGTATTGGTTTTGCCATACATTGACTTGAATCCACCATGGGTGTACATGTGTAAAAATATGGAATGCTTCACGAATTTGCATGTCATCCTTGCGCAGGGGCCATGCTAATCTTCTCTGTATCGTTCCAGTTTTAGTATATGTGCTGCCGAAGCGAGCACCAGATTAGAATTTTAATACAGTTATAAAAACCATGTGCAAAAGGGATATCTTGCACTTAACTCTGAGTTTGCTGACTGTTGCACTTGGTATCCTTTCCTGATATTTTTGGCTTTTAACAGAAACTTTTCCTTTTCTTTTGTCCTTTTCTATCTGGGAAAGTATTTCTAGATTTTAATTTAGATGAAAACAAAGATTAATTTCAGGTGTACTAGATGACTAGAAATATGCATGACTTTGTTTTTGAAAGCATTATCACTATTACATTGCAGCTTATGAAAATCTTGTTTCTCACCTGTAACTTCGTGGCTAATTGTTTTCATTCCTTTAAATGTAGGAGATAGCCAAAATATTCAGAGAACAGGCTGCATAATACTTTTCCTACTTAATTAAATTGTGAAAGTTCCTTTGGTGGTGCTCTTTTTCTTATTATTATTACTGCACTGGGTCTTGGTTGCTTCGCACAGACTAATGGGGCAGTTGGGGGCCGCTCTTCGTCGTGGTATGCAGCTTCTCACTGTGGTGGCTTCTTGGGCACACGCTCTGGGTGCACTGGCTCGGTAGTTGTGGCACATGGGCTTAGTTGCTCCATGGTGTGTGGAAACTTCCCGGACCAGGGATTGAACCCGTGTCCCCTTTATTGGCAGATGGATTCTTATCCACTGTACCACCAGGGAAGTCCAGTTTTTTTCAATACAGTGAATAAGTATAAGTACATAATCACTTAAATTCACTTAAATATATTTAAGTGTATTTAATTCACTTATATACAGTGAATAAGTCGATTTGTATTCGTATCTCAGTTCTGCCATTTACTATTTTTTTGTTATATTTTGCACAAGTTGCTTAATTGCATAGGTTGCTTTTGAGAATTAAATGAGATCTGTGAAGTTCTGTAAAGTACATAGCACATGGTAGCCTATAAGTGATTACATTTTGGATTTTTTTTCTTTCTTACTATTTACAATGATGTCATATTTAACATATTCTTATTCATAACTTCTTTCACATACCTAATCATGTAATGTATTTTTAGAAGTCTATAAAGGCCTAAGAATGGAAATGTTTAAACTTGGAAAGGACCTTAGAATCTACACAAATTTTATTTTACAGTTGAGAAAACTAGTTTGAGGAAATCAAAAATTTGTCCTTGATATTTTATGACATGCCTATTTTATGGCAAGCTTATTTTATCTAGAAAACACACTTCTGTTTATATATTTCATGCCTTGAAAAAGTCATTAAGTGAAATACTATTTCTAAAGTCTCAAAGTATGAACTAATTCACCATGTAATTTTTTCTAAAAGGAAAAAGTACTAGTTTTTTGTTTGGTTTAGTAAATTAAATGATTCCCATTTGAGGTTGTGAATGTGTTGTTTTTAGTTTACAGAAGATTTAAATCCCTGAAGAAAACAGGAATGATGAACATACCAGAGATTTTTAAATAAAATAAATAATTTTGAATAATAATTATTTGAATAATCTGAATAATTATTTTTTATGCTCTTTTAAGCTATTTGGGCAGTTTCTGAAATAAAATTATCTTCTTGAGAAATATCTTCTGGACATTGGCATTCTACACCAAGTATGTTTTAATTCATAGAATTCTTTATACCATCTGATGCATTGCTTTTCTCTGCAGGATACAGAGGAATTAGAAACAGACGTTAGAGAGGAGCCTCCGGTGAACACCTCTAAAGTCCGTCCAAAGCAGGACAAAGCTTTTTCTCTGAAGACCATGAGCACTAGTGATCCAGCTGATGCATTAATCAAAAATAGCCAGGTAATGTTTTGATATCCAAGAAATAAAATTTTGATGACTGGAGAATTGTATTAATACTAATATTTTATTGAAACACCGTGCTAAACATTTTTAATATACCAGATTGCCCTCATAGCAACCCCAAAAGAAAAGGTATGAATGAGGTTAGAGAAGTTGAATAAGTTGGCCCAAGTTCCACAACTGTCAGAAGCAAAACTAGAGAAAGCCACTAGACTGTTTCTTTTTCTTGTTAAATATCTAGGTATACAAGGGACATAGACAGATGGCTTACAGAAAATGTGAGTAGTTGCACTTTTCCAAAAGCATGCACATAATGTATTATGACTGTGATCCAGTCTCTAAAATATAGCATTTTTTTATGTAGTGACAGTATCTTGAAATGTGTGCCATCTGTAGAAAATTTTGATATGTCAGAAGGGAGCATTTTATAAAAGGTCTAGACCAGTGACACAAAGCCCATAGCGCTTTAAAGTCTGATTTCTAATTTGGTAAGTTGTATCGTTTAGAAATATATGAAATATTTAATAACTATGAAATTGTGCATGGTTCTCATTCAAAACATGTATCGAGAATCTCCCACACTATTTAAAGTTCTGGAGATATAACAGAGAGCAAAGCAGGAAAAAAAAATCCCTGCTTTTATGGCGCTTACATATTTAATGAAACAGCTTTATATTAAGACCGCAAAGGGTCATGTGACATTTTGATAAGTCGTTTTCAGAAGTCACCTTGTTAGGGTATTTGAGTCCTTCTGTGATTTAATATAGAGAGGTGAGAGGATGGAGGGTGGGAAGAGATTTAAAAATGAGTACTAAAACTTTGGAATAAACACAAGGAGCATTAATAAAACTGAAGCAAGCGTTGTAAATACAGTTTCAGATACCTGAAATGGAAGGAGCCCTAGTAGTTACCTAGGCATGCACATCTTCCTCTTTGTTTCCTTTCTCCTTTTGCTTTTTTGCATTCATGGAGCCTGGAAGAACAAGGGGCAAGAGAAGTATGACTTACCCTTATTTCTGTATTCAAAATCATCATCACAGGTAGAGCTTAAGGGTGAGATGATCTCTGCCTCATCTGTTCCAGCCTCACTCTGCAAGTCCTTTACCTGTCCTGAACATTTATTAACAGTTCAGCCTCATTCCAGCAGATCAGGTAGTTGACCGCTCTGCTCCCAGGTTGGAGAGGAGAAGCAAGACTCGAGTTTGGCCCTAAGCTTTATAATTTCACTACCAGACTCAGTGAAACTCTGAAGATTTGGACCTGAGTTTTACTAGTTGCTTTAATAGATTAGGACTAGTAGCTATAGTCTGCTTTATCTGAGGCCATTTTTTTCCTTGGGGAGAAAACAAGCTTTTGCTACTGCTGCTGCTGCTGCTGCTTGAGATATCCCTACCTCATGAGAAGGAGGAAAGGAAATGTCACTTCTGGTAGTTCAGAAATTTGCTATTTTTGCCTTTACAAGAAAAGGTTTTGAAGAGGTGAGAGTTTGTGGGAAATGGACGGAACCATTGAATACCAGTACATGAAAAAAATCCTGTTATTTGTAATGAAAAAGACAAATGTAAAAGTTAATGAAAATTGAATCATTCGCTCCTCTTTGAGATTCAGTAGACATCTTGTAATTTTACACATTTAATCATTTTTATCTCAACCTGTATTTGTGGATATTGTAGTTAAAGATTTATTTGGTTATATGTCACTAGAGGGCAGGCATGAGTTGTAGTGCTTCTGCTGGTAAATGATTTATTCACCATCTTTGTATTTCAGCTGAGCAGCCTCTTGTTATTACTATGACATTTGATTTTTTTTAATGAAAACCTAAGATAATTTTATTTCAAAATAGCCTATCAAGACTCTTCCACCTGCTATTTCTACCGAGCCATCTGTTATTTTATCAAAAAATGATTCTGACAAAAGCTCTTCCCAAGTGCCACCGATGCTACAAGAAACAGATAAATCCAAGTCAAATGCTAAGCAAAACAGCGTGCCTCCTTCACAGAGTGAGTCGTCCTCATTTCTGGTTCTTTTGGGGCTCTCTGTACTGTTCATAGGCGTCACTGTCTCAGAAGTCTAAAGGATCACTCCGTTCAGTCCAGTCACTTAGTCCTGTGACTCTGTGCGACCCCATGAGAGGATTACTGGAGCAGACCTTTGCTCCTTGGCAAAGCCTAGATTCCTTGGAACCTTGCAGAGCTCAGTGGTTGAGGACCAGGCAGCTAAAGTCACTTCAGGCCAGAGTAGGTGGCCAAAGACATACACAGGGGAGCCCTTGGTACCTGCCCCTACTCTACGGATCCCTCCCTTTTTCTGTGCACAAGTTCTTAAAACTGTGCCCCCTTCCCCCCCACCCCTTTTTCTCCCTTCAACTACCTTTAGTGTCCAGTTTATCCACTTTCACTCTTATTACTTAGATTGAGTCTTGTAAGTGATGGTTCTTCTAGGTCAAAATGATGAACATCCATAAGGTTAAACCAAATAATACATTGGAATTGAGGAAAAGAGGAAGGCAACCAGAGAACCTAAAAACCTTTAACTAGAACTTGAAAATGTGCACGTAAAAGCTGAGGCACTTTTAGTGGATTTCAAAGCATGGTTTTAGTGGTACTGCTTTTATGCTTTTGAAACAGAGCAGTATTTACTATCCTCCTGACGTCTCTCTCTCTCTCTCTCTCCTGTTCTCTCTCTTTTTTTCCCTTTTAGCCAAGTCTGAAACTAGTTGGGAATCTCCCAAACAAATAAAAAAGAAGAAAAAAGCCAGACGGGAAACGTGAATTTTTTTCTTCCTGAATTGGACATGTGTTTGCAAACACTGTCTTGAAGATTATGCTGTTTATGCAATAATTTGTGAACATGTACAGAGTTTTATATAAATTTAAACCAGTTTTTAAAACAAAACTGTGAACACAACCACCGTAAAAATGGAATCAAAGGAAAGTTAATTTATGAAATTAAGAGGTCAGCAGAACATATACAGTGCTGGAAGACGCTTGGGGAAGGTCAATCTAACAAGAACGATCTTAAGATTCTCATCTTGGTTTTACAGCAGTGCCCTGTTTACAACAGATTGTGCCCTATCTCATCTGCAGCTAAAGAATAAAGGATTCTGATTAGAGAGAAGGCTGTCTACAAATTAGTAGGCAGCTTCTTGGATTTTATGCACGGAACTTAAACCATTTGAATCTGTTTTATGCTTAAATCAAAGTGCTTTGATCAAATGCATAATCTGCCATATCTTTACATATTTGTTGGTAGCAATTTGTATTAAAGAAATCACAAGTGCAAATAAAAAGTCATTTATTATTTAACTAAACTGTCATGGTTTAGTTTACAATTTTTAAAATGTTCTTAAAACATTCAAAATGCAGTTGACACTTGTATGGCTTATGAAGTTATTTTTGATAGTCTTACTTTACTTGAACTGTTAAAACTACAGTATATTTTAAGTTAAGAAAGGTAAACTCTATGTATTTGTTTTATACTTTTGAGGTTGAGACTCACAAATAATGCTCTTGTGTATGATTTGAAAACTTTCAGGCAAAATCCAACTTATATTTTCTCCTTTCCCTAGCAATTACTTTTTTCCAGCATCAATTCTTCTTCGTTACTAATACTTTTTTGACTTTACAAGTGAAATCTTTCACAAACTAGTTATACAGACAGAACTTTGAGTACATGATGGAGAATGAAAAACTAGAGTCAGACAGCTTTAATTGACATTGTCAAGACCTCCAGTTATCAGGAATACATTTTTTTACTGCCTTAACCTGTAGTGCGTAGAATATGCATCAATTTCTTGAAGGGGATTCGTGTTTTTATAAGAATTTTCATGTTATTATTGCAATCGTGATCAAATAAGGAACGTTTCCTGCTTGAAACTGTATTGATTTAAATGATGTGTGAGACGTTTCACCATTTTCAGGCACTGTGTAATTCTATTGTAATAAACTGGCAGGTATCTTTGTAACTATAAATAGTGCATGCTCAGCCATGTACACTGTAAATAGCCTTTACCAAACGTGTTTGACAAGGACCATAATTAACATCACTTAGTGAATTGTGATAAAGAAAAAAGCCATGACTTATTTGATGTGATTGGCTTAATTGTTTTTCTGTGGCGCCAAGAATGAAACTGTTTAACAGCTGTAACCAATGGTACTGATCTATCCATCCAATTTTGTCTCTTCTATTTGATTGTGGTTTGATAGTATTGCATTGTTACACCGGAAAGCTAAAGAAACAGAATGGTTTTAGTTTTGCTGAAGACTGGCCTTATTAATGGACAGCTTTCCTAACAAGCGATTATTAACTTTTATCAGGTGTTAACATCTGTTTCAGGAACACGGCAGTATGTTTACATGTCAGAAGTTTTGTTTAATTCTATGATATTTCTAAATTGATTTGTTTAAATAAATTCAGCAAATGGATAGCATTGTTTTTATTTGCTTCAGTATCGGGCTAAATAAGCTAAAGTGCCAGGAGTGAATTTCTTGAAATGACTGTATTAGCTTTGTGTAGCTGCTTCCTAAAGAGATCCAAGGATTCGATTCCTGCGTTGCAGCACTTTGTAAAGGTATCAGCAAAGGAGAATTGAATAGGAAGTCTGTGTAATTTTTAGAATGTGCCAAAAGATATATGCTCAAAAAATTTAATTGAACTCTCTCAACTCTACCTCACCATTTCTTTTATCTTAGAATTATGTTGGCTATGTCGAATGTAGGACGTTATATTTCTCCAGCTTAGTATCTCTTATTGAACCACCGACACTGGGTGTTAGAAACACCTTCTTTTGAGGGGAGATGGGTGCAGAGACGGAGAAGTGCCCTTCTAAATTTGGGTGGATCCGAGATGGAAAAACCCATCCCTTCTCTCTGGCTCAAGAACTAGGGCATGGCTTTTATATTTCAAGAGATGGCAGCTATGAGTGTTAAAATTACTATCAGTTCATTCTCTTACACATGCATGAGGTGCAGACTGTTGCACAGTTAAAATATCATTCATTGTTCATCGCTCTTCACTTGTTCCATAAATGTTTATGACATGAAAGCAGTTTCTGGCATCTGAACCAGAGGAATTGTTTTCCAGCATCAACTCAAAAGACTAAAATCCAGGGAGGGGGGAAGAGAGGAGAATTGTCCTTTGGAGGCTTGGATTAGATGCTCCCCCAGCCACTAGTAGGGAGATAAATGACCCCTTTAAAACTTTTATCAGGCCTGAAGGGGATCCTTGTTCTGATTAACAAACAAAGCCTCCTAGATAAAACTTGCCTTCATCCTGACCTTACTCCACAGACTTAGTGAAAACCCTTCCCATCCTGGAGTAGGGAGTAATGGGTTAGGACTTCCCCAGACTGGAATCCTACCTCTCTGTACCCTACATTGAGCAAAACAACAGTTGAGAGAGTCCAAAAAACAAGTATTGAAATAAAATGTCATTAATGTAATTGACCGTGTTTCCTTTGTGCATGCATTTTATTGGATGGGGAGTGGGAATAAGTCATCTGAATCTAATGGTATTATTTCATAGACTAATCCAGTTTGTACTTGGGTTAAAGATACTGAAGGGCAATATTTAACTACAGAGTTTAGTTTTTCTTAAAAACAATCCTCTATTAATATAGTGTGAAATGTCTTTCAAATTTTAGAATTTAGGCTTAAGATGTCTAATAGATGTCTTAAGACTTTCCTATAAACTCATTGCACAAACTGGAATTACCTTCCAACAGACTTAGGGAATGCAAATATGTTATTTGTAAAATGCATTGAGTATTGTAAATAAAACAAGCCATTTTTGTTTTGTTTAAATTGCTTGTTACAGTTCTCTTACTGGAGGGGACTTCGCATCCTAAGCTAGTCTAAAAGGCTTCTTGATGTTAATGTTGCTAAACTCTAGGTTCTATATGTTTCAAATGTTCCTGATGCTCTGAAACCATAGGTGCACTTGGAGGTTTTAACCACTGGAAAAGGCAGACGTGTTGAGAGTGAAACATCTCTTGAGCTGTCCCTGTTTGTGACACAGCATTGTCTGTGGGAAACAGCTTCCATCATCTTAGCAGTAGATGTCACTCACCAGGGCCAGTGTATCACTCGTATCAACCCTTTTAAGGAAATTAGACTCAAATTTGGCATCATTATTTTAAAAGTTTGTTTCTCTTTCATGTCCATCTGAGAAAGCAGTCCAGAGCTGCTCTGACCCTCGGCAGGGCCAGGCGCCCAGGGTCCGTCCTCCTGTGCTGCTCTCCCGCCTTCTCAGCATGCAGCATCCGTGTCACGACTGCAGACAGCTGCACCAGTTAGAAACCCCCTCTCAGCATTTCTGCCCCCTTCTTTGAAGAGCTCTTCTTAGCAAGTTATTCACACCACACAGGCTTATCCACGCAATCACCTGATCCTGCTAGCTTCAAAGGGGCATGGGAAATATTAAGTCTCTATCCTGGGCTGTCACGGGCCAAATCAACATTCAGGTTTCATGACTGAGGAAGCAGCGGAGAGCGAGCTATCAGGAACAGCTCGCCGTCTTCTGGCACAGGGTTGACATACATCGTGTATATGATGCAGCCAAGCATCACTTTCAAGGTCAGGTTAGCTTTTCCCATTGAGCAGAAATTTAAAATCTCTTGGATGCTAACTTAAATGTAATAGATTCTGAAAGAACTTTCTGCCACTTAATGCTTTAAATTCTAGAGACCTAGAGGCTTGAAGAAACTTACTAGCCTGCTATCACATGTTGACTGCAAGTATAAATTATAACAATTTTCAGGGAAGTTACCCTGGTGTATAATCTTTTAAAAATTAAAAGGCATTATTACTACTCAAAATACTTTAATAAAAGATTTCTAATCCTAGCATCAAGACAGGTATATGAGGTGCTTGTGAAATGTTTGCTACCTACCTAATAATAACAATACTGAGGTTCATGAACAGGCTAATCTGAAGAAAAATTTAAGCAGATTCAAGGTCATCCCCATGATAATGGCATTCTTATTTGTATGTGTGCTTTCCTTTTTTATTTATTGTATCAAAGCCTTCAAAATGAATATATGTAACATGTACATAAATTATAAAGCATAATAAAAAGAACACCTCTGAAACCACCATTCTGCTTAAGATATAGAACGTTACCAGTAGGGGGTGTTGGGGGTGAGCTGGATCTTTGGTAACAGGATCATCAAGCAGCGGGGGTGGGGGGGGGGGGGTTGGGGGGGAACTGCAGAGGCATGGATGAAAATAGCGCTCTCATATACCCAGGGTTGGCACAGGTCCTTCTCGGTGCCAGAACTGACTAGGGGTCCCAGGTAACACATCACCAGGTCTCGGAAGGCTGCCTTGACAGCCTCACTGGTGCTGCTTCCTAAAGTCATCCCATGGACATCTGGTGGGAAATTGTTGGGATGAATATGCAAAGGTACACAGTGAATCAACGTGGGCCAAGAGTGCCCTCGGAGTTGTGCAATGCACACTTTACATGGCAGCCTTTCCACAAGGAGGGATAGCGAGGCTCTTTGCTAGAAGGTGCTCCCCCAGGATCAGAAGAGCCGTGTGTGTCCTGCTTAGGGCAAGGGCATCTTGTGAAGTGTGCCAGGGCTACAGACTTTCTGACAAACACCACAGGGCTTTGTGGGCAGATCAACCAGAGCTCTGAGCTCCTTAAAGACACTAGAATTATGAATAATTTCTTTTCTAAACTGTCTTCCATAATTTTAAAATATATTGCTGGGAATAGTTGGAGCTATTCCCACGTCTCATCAAAACTGAAGTGACCACGATAATGAACA